AAAAATAGATCAGACATAACAATTTTAACATTTTAGCAGCCAAATATGCCCGCTAACCACTGACGGTTTAAGGGATAAAAAATCAAACTAGTAAATATAATTAGATTAATTATAAATTTTGTAATTAGTAGTTTTGTTTTGATTTTATATTATAAAAATATCTAAAGTAGCTATGTTCGATTTTTACAATATAAACAAAACTTTATTTTTTAAAATTTTATATAAATAACACATTACATTAACCAATCAAATTGCATATCGTTGTTATAATTTTTATATTTTTTGTAGCTAATATAAGGCCATGCAAATTTGATAAATTGGTTCTCATAACCCGGCCGGGTCAAATTTCGCAATTTTTTTACTATCCGGGTGAAGATAAATTTTTTGAAAAGGCCTCACCTTTGAAGATTAAAAAAAAAAAAATAAATAAATTTTTTGAAAATAAAATTAAAAGCCGGGTTGCCGGGTCATTTTTCAAATTTTATGTTATGAGAACCCAAAAATTAACTTGGATGGCCTAATTACTGTATTTTTTATAATCTCGGGTTTTTTTTTTATACCATTTCTCTCAATAGTAATACAAATCGATGAAGATTTTTTATTCGATTATTTGATAGATCATTTTATTCAATTAATTGATTAGTTGGCCAATCGATTAATTAAATAAAATAATAAATGAAACTTGGTAAAATACACGTAAAGTTGCAACTAAAATAGTCGGATTGATATTCTTATATGATCAGTTGATTAATCAACCAATTGACTAGTCGATTAATTGACCAATCGATTAATCTAGGAATGTTATCTGGTCTGGTCTTGGACCAATGAACTATAATCCGTTATAGGAATGGTCAGTCTCGGTCTTAAAATAGTTTAGATTGTAATCTTAAACCAGCCTTAAGACTGGTTACAAAAACCATGATTCAAATTATGGTTTCAAAATTTATTTAGACCAGTTCTGGATTGGCTTATCTATATGATATAAAGACTCGGGCTGAAGGTTTGGACTACAACACTTTCTTATTTTTAGAACTAAACGGTAATTTAAACCCAAAAAGACCAGACTGAACTGAACTAAATATAGACCAAGCCAGACTAAACTGACCGTTGACATCCTTAGATTAATCGATTAGTTGGCCAATCAATGATATATTTTATGTTATATTAAACGAAGAATTAATTAGAAGTGGCCTAAATCTAAATCAAAAAATAAGTAGAAAAGAACATAATATGAAAAGTATAAACAAGAACCGGTGAATAACGAGTTGTAAATTTTTGACCAGGATGACCCAGTTTACTATAGTCCGGTTCTAAACTCTCAGCTTAAATTTTTTTGATATTAATAATTCATTTTTTGAAAAAATCAACCTTACAACTTTATTATATTTTGGAATTACGTTGAATAACTAGAAAAACTAATTTTATACAACGGACTTTTTCTATACCAGTTCAAGAGATAATTGATTACAGTCTGTAGTAGTAGTAAGTATTAATAATTGCAAAAACGGCAGAGGATTTGTTTAATAACAATTGCTAAATACATTAAATACATTGTATACAAAGATTCCCATCTAGAAATAAAAAAAAAAAAAATTATGAAATGTATTCAATGATTGTTTATAAGCTACTAGTAATCATCAGATAATTATCCCCTCTAAAAATTATTTCCAAAAGAATTATTTGGTCTTCGTTTTTGCTTTCTTTGGAGAAGGCTCTGTAGCACTCGACTTATCACCTTTCTTCTTAGGAAGTAATTCTGAATGAATATTTGGAAGTACACCGCCCTCGGTAATATGAACATTTCTCAACAAGATGCTTAACTCTTCGTCATTTCGTACAGCCAACTGCAAATGTCTTGGAATAATTCTTTGTTTTTTGTTGTCACGTGCAGCGTTACCAGCAAGTTCGAGAACTTCAGCAGTCAAATATTCAATAACGGCAGCCAAATAAACTGGAGCACCTGCTCCTACACGTTCTGCGTAACGACCTTTCTTTAGGAGACGACCCATACGACTAACAGGAAAAGTAAGACCAGCTTTAAAGCTTTTGGTGACTTTTGAAGAACTCTTAGCTCCGACTTTAACGACGCGTTTTTTCTTTCCACCAGTTTCTTCTGAACCAGATTTAACGGGAGTATTTTCGGTTCCCACACGGGATCTTCCAGCGGAATCAACGGTAGACATGATAGAAAGTGTTTTTAATAAGTGTCAATAATTTTAATTTTAATAGGTAAAGGGAATAAAGTTTTGTTTATCCTAAATTTTTTTAGATGCTATTAAATAGATAAAACTGTTACACTAAAATTTGCGATAACTACGCGTTTTTTTTTGTTTACACTATCAAATTAAAATGTCTTTATAGCGTGCCAGGTAACCTGATTGGCCAAAATTCTCGTGCATGGAATCACGTCTTTTCTAATAGCACTCAATATTTATCTCACGTGAATGTCCGACCAACGAAAATTTATGTTCGGTTTAAAAAATTCAGTGCAAGGTACCCCCTTGATTTAGACCGGGTATATTACAAGGGCATTTGTTGTGGTATCTTGTAAGATACCCGGGTATAAATCAATGCCGATTTAATAGGTACTATAGTTTTTTTCTAATAAATTAATATAACCTCTACCTACCGTATTTCGCCATAGAAAGTACCCGGGGTCTCTTACTATCTAAACCGGTTTTTCTTGATTTATACCCCCGGGTATACTGTATAGCGGAGGGCAGTGATGTACGTTTTGATTGTCCAAAGGTTTTTTTGGCACTGTCCAACGTCCAAGTGTCCACAAGTGTCCAGAGCATGTCTAAGCTTTAATAATTAATAAATTTATTTAACAAATATATAATTATATATTTTTTTAAGTGCTGAACATATTTTACTTAGAAAATAACATAGGTTATTTTAATAAAATTTTGAGTAATTTTAATTTATTTAATTATTCAAAATTGTCCAAAGTGTCCAAACTTACTGTCCACAACTGTCCCGTGACAACACTGGCGGAGGGTATACTTTATGATTTTAGGTAGCTGTCCCACAAAATTTTTTCCACCCCTTGTAATAACGACCAATCGAATTTCAGGATCAGGTGTAACGTGATAGTCAAAACAAACGTGTTTTGTTTTCTAAGTAAAAAGTTACGTGCAAAATTAAAGTTAAGAAAACCGCGTTATAGTTAGGGTTAGGACTAGGATAATGTGACGTTTACGATTATTTTTCATTAGACCACAGAAGGCGGTTTCCTAATTAAAATTTAGAGCTATTCTTGTTTTTTTGCTTCGTCTCGATTTTCACGTTACACCTGATCCTGAAATTCGATTGGTCGTTATTACAAGGGGTGGAAAAAATTTTGTGGGACAGCTAGGGCAGCGTTGTTAACTGGAAGCATTGGAAGACTATTAGAACTCCATTGGAAGCAAAATTTAATAGTACCACTGGAACTTTTACTATTAGAAATTTTCACTAGAAGACAAGAAATTCCCACTAGAAGCCAAAATTAACATTACTGAGCTAGGGGCTTTATACTATATGGGAGGTCTTGTGTAAGAATCATATTATGAAAACAATATGTTTTTATATGTCACATGCACAAAAAACCTCCGTTTATCATACTGGGTCTTGTACTAAAAATACAGTTATAGACCTGGTAATATACCCGGTATAAATCAAGGGGGTACAGTCAACCAGGGGGTACTCTACAAGGCGAAATACGGTAATAATTTTTTTAAATGAACATATAAAATTGGACTGTGTTCAAAACATCATCGATAATTACCGTAGTTACTGACTACAAATTTCTTGAATAGTACTTGTGACTTATTAACTAATTTTTCTCGTTGTTTTTATTAAATGCATTTACTATATTGATCTATTAAACACCATTTTTTTATAAGAGGTCTTCTTTAATTTGGTACTTTTTGTTTGGCAGATTAGCTGATTCATCGAATTAACAAATTTTGTTAAAACCAAATTGTTTTATTTAGGCACAATATATTAGGATTAATGTTAGTGTTTAGGGCGCTTATATAGTAAAATTTTACACAAAAAATTAGTTTTATATTGTAGTTAAAGCTTCAAGTTATAATAAACAATTTTTTAAAAATAATATAATCAAAAACCAATTTTGTTAACGCATGATAATACTTTTATACAAATAGACGCAAAAGATTGCTTTTTTTATAGATCTACTAAATCTGAGTTATATTATTGATGCATTTTAGTATATATAAAATCGATTTGTTTAAGACTTTAAACAAAAATATTCAACAGCCATCCAACAAAATCTGATGAATTTTTATTTTGATTCTACAGTTCTATAAAACCAAAATAAAAAAATTTGGTTGAATATATATATTTGCTAAAATATTTTTGCTTAAAATTTTACAAAAATTATAGTTTCAAAACTGAGTTAATATATAGGTCTTTGCTAGAAAAATCACCTTTTGACATTTTTTGATCAGGCTAATTCAGAATATATTAAATCAATATACTGGGTTTTATTTACATATAAATCATAATTTGCCTTTATTAATTCAAAAAATGTTTGAACCAATAAAAGCAAAAATGATTTACTGTATATACAAGTAAATATTGGTAATATTAGTTTGAATTTTTTCAAATTTGTTTAATCAGAAAATGTCAAAGGGTAATTTTTTTAGCAAAGATCCTATATTTGCAACTATTTAATCAAATTCAATCACTTTTTATTTTGATTTTTTTTTTTTTTTTTGAATTTGCTATATATATGATAAGATTAATTACAGATTTATATTAAGATGATATTAATTATAACTATCTATTGTATCTTGTATAATCACCTAAGTGTAGCAAAACATCTTTTAATTTTTTATTTGTAAACTAATTTAAGAGCTAGTTACTATTAGTTATAGAAAGGGAAAGAGGAAGCCCAAATTTTATTTTGATTCTAATATATATAAAATTAAATAAAAAATTTAATAAATTTAGTTAAATATTTGTTAATAATATAGCATGAGCAGTCTTTCAGAGGAAACCCAAATGAGAACAAATAAAGATCTACTCGAAAAAACTCTCTGAGAAGAGTCAAAGGAAGAATCTTTAGAAATGAGAGCCAAAGTAATCAAAGGTCTGATTCAAGAAAACAAGGCAGAAAAAATACAAGAAATTCTACAATCAAAAAAAATGCCAAGACTTAAATCAAACTTGCTATAAATATGGTTTGAAACTGCTTTTATAAAAATATATAAACAAGAAGATGTGAAATAATATGAAGATAAAAAATTAATAAAGATATCACAACTAAAGAAAAACATAATAGCAGATTAACGAAAAAAAGAAAAAAGTCAGATTCAAGTATAGCTAAAACAAAGACACAGAAAAAAGGTTCAAAGATTAGAACTAATATGGAGAAACTAAAAAAAAATACTAGATTAAAAAAAGAAAAAGAGGAGAGTATAAAAAGAATAGAAAATAGATGGTTTAATAGTTTTAGAAAATTAATACAAAATAGTTGCAAACTTTTTTGATATAGTTTGTGCAGCTAACCTAGTATTAGCCTTCTGGTTATGAAACAAATTTTAAATTAGTATAGCAAACCACTTCTGGGCACCTATAAGGTAGCTGAGAGATGTGGGTCTAGATATTAAGCTCAACATTATATAATCTATTTATATAATAATCTTAATAAAGGATTACTGTTTGTCAAAGATTAAAAAAAAAAAAGTTAAATATTTGCTAATATATTACAAAAATATTGTTATAACTATTAATAAGTGTTTTGAATAGTTTAAAAATTAGAGCAAAGATATTTTAACAACTATTCAACTATATTGGATGTTTTTTATATTAATTATACAAGTTTATAAAATTAAAATAAAAATTTTATCAAATTTGGTTAAATAATTACTAAGATATTTTCATTTAAAGTTTTAAAACTATTTTAAAATCTTTATTAATATTATTAAAAACTCTTGTTTACAATTACTTATATCAACTTTTATCCAATTACAAGTTGAAGACTTAAGATTTAAATGTCTAAACTATCTGTATCTTTATTTACAAATTGTTAATGAAGTTCTAAAATATAATATATTGAAAAGTGAGTATTTTAAATAATTTATATAAAGGTTAAGCTTAGTTTTTTTACTTCTTTAGATAGACTTTATTGTGCATTTGGTATCCAAACTAGAAGAATCTCTAAAAATAGCAAGTATACAGAAGATACTATACAAGTAGAGAAGATAAAAAAAATTATAAATAATAAGAAAAATACTTACTAGTTAGGAACTTGTAAAACTTAACATTATTATTTGCTATTTTTTTATTATAATTCTTGATAAAAAGTAAAAGATTTGGTTTATCATTATCAAAAGATCAGCAATGCTTATTACTTCTATATTAAAAAGGCTTAGATATACTGTATATAATAGATTAAAAATATAACAAATATATAGAGCTTCTATATATGTTTTAAGAATATGTATTGGTTAGAATTTAAAAAAAATTCAGATTAATCTAGATATATGCTATCAAAAATGAAGATCTATTTAAATAGATACTTTAGTTTTATTTAGTTTGTCAACTTATCAAATAATAATCTTTTATATAATTATATCAAAGATTTGTACTACAGTCTACTCTGTTTATTCCACAAAAAAATGTACTTAAAGATTTTTATATGTAAAAATTTTTAAAAGTTCAGTTCTCAAAGAGTTATATATTGCTAATCCGAACTTTATAATAAAATTTACAAATGTTCTAAAGTTTTTCGTTCAGTTCTCAGAGAATTTATTAAGTATTCAGTTTAGAGAGGTTCAGTTTAACCAGAATCAACTGTACTTCTTTATTTAAGTTTTGTTAAACAGATTTCTGTATCTTTTAATTCATTAGTTTTATATAGCTGCTTCACTCAAATTTTGTATAACTAATATATTATATATACTATTATTTCACAATCTCTTAGTACAAGCTGATATAATTTAGTCTTAAATATTATCAAATATACTGTAAAAACTAGAAACCAAAAACCGGTATAAGTCCGGAGCCCATAATAGTATTCAATTAATGGCCCTAACCTCTGAAAAATCTGGTCATGTATATCACAGATCAAAATTTTCAGGACATTACAAACAGAAAATGCCGAAACTACGTTTTTGATATTATTATTATAGATGTATCAAAATCGTAATTTCAGTCATCAAAGCGCATAAAC